TGGTTAAGGAGTCTATATTTCATTTAGAAAGCAATTATAAGTCGTTATTTTTAATAAGGAGAGTGATGTGACCAGAACTGTGTACTAGGAACATCGCTTTAATAGCGATATCAAAGATCAGTTGAAGAGGGGAAGGACCAAGAGATGAGGGAAGAGATAAAAGGCTTTTCTAGTAATCCTGGTGAAGTAATTTGGTCCTGAGCCAAGGTATTGGCAGTGGGAATGAAAAGTTTTGGTGGAGGTAGATTCAGAAGTACCTGTCAGCTCATGAATGGGGAAGGGGATGGTGCATGAGAAAGAAAGACTTGAAGACTAAGGTGTCTAATCTGGGTGACCTGGGGAATCAACAGAAGGGGAAGTGAGGAAGATGGGCCAAGTTTGGGGGTAAGATGATATGTTTTCATATTTTGAATTCGAAATGATGAGAGGACATGGGATGGTGGAAGTGGAACATAGAGATACAGATTGAGGTGGTCATCTGCACAGAGGTCATAATTAAAGGTATGGGAATTTTTCAAAATAAAAAAATTAGAAGAGTTGACATTGTTTTACATATTTTTGCAAATCTCTGTAATGTCTGGCTTAATAGAAAATAGCCAGATTCTCATGTTTCTCCATTTAGTCTGTTGTTGGCTGTTACTTTGGTTGAAGTGTATAAAAATCAGGCCTTGCATAGATATGTAGTTGGAAAAGGGAATTTTTAGACAAGTGGTGTCTTAGTATTATTATGGAAATCGTGTTGACCTCCAGGATCCCCTAAAAGGATCTCAGGGGTCAGTAGCCCACATTTTGAGAACTGCTGGTGCAGTCTAAACCCCTCATTTTACAGATGAAATACAGGCCCAGAGGTTGTGACTTGTTTAGGGTCTCACAACTAACTAATGGCAGAACTGGGAATAAAATCCAAGATTAACTTTATTTTGTGACATAGCTGTTTGGATGTGAGTACTGCCTTAGGCCTTGAAATATTACAGTTTAAATAAGAACAGTCAAATCAGTAGAAATTTACTCAATGCACACTGTGTCAGACACTACTTGGCACTGATGCTTTGTGCTAAACTATATGTTTTTCTTTTGGGTAGATGAAACTGGGTAATTGGGATACAAATCATAAAATGCTGTATGTTTATACCGTATTCAGTACTTACTCACTTCCACACGGCAGGTTGCAGTCACCTTTTTGTTATTTCAGGCTCCCTGGGGCCAAGACCCTAAACATTGGAGTATGATTGCAGTGATAAGGAGAGAGAACAGATCACATCATTCCCTAGGTTCTTTGACTCTTTCTTTGGGTTGTCTGATCTGTCCAGAGAACACATCTTTGCTAAAGAATGAGCAGAGGAGCCCTTTAAATCCGAAGGGCTTAGACAGGCAGCACAAGACGGTCTTTTGTTTAATAATAAAAAAATTATAATAATTATCAATGATAACAGACTACTAGTAGTAGTAATAGTAGTAGTGGTAGCTAGCCTATATATAGTGCTTTTGGTTTGCAAAGTACATAACAAATATTATCTCAATAACCTTGGAAAGTAGGTGCTATTATGATCTCTGTTTTACATATGAGAAAACTGATGTAGAATTGCCCGAAGTCACACAGCTAGTAAATGTCTAAGTCAGGATTCTAACCCAAGCCTTCATGACTCTGGGTTCAGTGCTCTTTCCGCCATCCCAACGATCAGCCTTAGTTACCACTTCCTATTGATATTGCAGGGCAGCTAGGTGGTGCAATGGATAGCGCGCCACGCCCAGAGTCAGGAAGACTAATCTTCCTGAGTTCAAATATGGCCTCAGATATTTACTAGCTGTGTGACTTTGGGCCGTGTGTGTGTGTGTGTGTGTGTGTGTGTGTGAGAGAGAGAGAGAGGGAGAGACCTTGTTTGCCTCAGTTTCTTCATCTGTAAAATGAGTTGGAGAAGGAAACCACTATAGTACCTTTACCAAGAAAACCCCAAATGGCGTCATGGAGAGTTGGATGCTAGAAATGACTGAACAGCAACATTAAGAATGCTTTCGAAATGTCTTCTAAATTCATCTGTTCTACTACTTTATGCTTTCATTCCTGCAATAATGTGCTAGCTGGCCTTCCTGACTCTAGTATCTTTTCCTTTCCCACAAGTAGTGTGTGCCTGGCACATATTACATGCTTGTAAATGATGTTGACTACCTTGTTGACCTTCAGTCTATCCTGGACATCGCTGCTAGGTCAATCTTCCTAAAACAGATGTTCACATGTCATTTTTCCAGTTAAAAAACGATGATGACAACAGACTGCGGTGGCACCTCATTTCCAAGAGGATCAAGTATTGAATTCTCTGCTTAGCTTTCCAGGCCTTCCAGAATCTGGCTTCCTCCTCCAAAGTTTTGATCTTGCACAATAGGAAATATAATAGTGTCCTGTTTCCTCTCCTGCCTCCCATTAGTTTTCTAATCAAAAAAAAAAAAGTGAGCTGGCTTATGAAGTCATTGACAAAGGTGAAGTGGGTCTAAGGTGAGATAGAACATAACAAGAACATAACAAGACCAAATTGTTCTACCAAAAAAAAAAGTCTACTATTTTACAATTTCGCCTGCAAAGTATGGGTGTACCTGTCTTCCTACAACCCCACCAGCATTGAGTTTGGCCTTTTTTGTCTATTTCTTCCAATTTTATGACTGTAAAATGGTATCTTGATGTTTTATTGCATTTTTCTGACTTAATGAGATTAAACAGTTTTAAATGATTATTTACAATATGTATATACTCTTTTATAAATTTTTTTGTACCTTTGATCTTTTTTCTATTTGGGACTGTGTTACCCTTGAATTTTTGTATCAATACCTTAAACGTTTTTAAGTTTTCAAAATTTTTTATTTATGACTTTTTTTTTTAAACCTCAGTCATACTCCAATAAACTAGCCATTTCCATGTAAAATCTTCCCTTTCAACATGGAAAAGAGGTAAACCAAACCAGTGGACATCGAATTATATGCAGTATTCTTTACCCATAGTCACTCTGCTTTTTACTAAGGAGAGAAATGAATTTCATTATCTGTTCTCTGAGACAAAGACTGAACTCATTTCCTGTGAGTTCACGTGCTTTTCAGTGTTGTTTTCATTTATGGCATTGTAGCCATTGTCTTTGTTGTTATGCTGGTGTTTCAGCTTTCTTTATTTTGCATCAGTCCATTCAGTTCTTCCCATGAGTCCCTGAATTCCTTATTTTTATTGTTCCTTATGGTGCAATAATATTCTATTGCATTCATAAACTACATTTTGTTCAGTCCTTCCTAAGTTGATAGTTACCCAATTTTTTACTTGTCTTACAGTTTTAGATGTTGAATTTTTAATTGTTACATCTGTGACAATCTTTTTTCCGATCTCTTCTGTTTTCTTACAATTATATTGTACCTAATGTTTTTATTTTTCTGTAATCAAATTCTTGTATCCTCAGCAATTTTTTTTATTTAATAGTTGAAAATGTATCTCCTTTTCACAACTGAGATGAAACACGATATTGCCTTTTAAAAAGATGATAAAATTTTAAATATAGTTTTTTAAAATTTTAAATTATGTGATCCAGCCAGAATTTATTGGTGTATAATACAGGGAGAGGATTAAATTTAATTTTTTCTACTATAATGCTTGGTATTTCACCAACATTTTAAAAATGAGGAACCCTTCCTATGTTTTTATTGTGTACAGGATTATCAAGCACTGGTTTTATCTATGTAGACCCTCAGACATCATCTGATCCAGTCTGTACCCCTCTCCAAAGTTTGTGACAGATAATGAATTATACAGACTGTGTTTGAAGGTCTCAGGTGGTAGAAAACTCATTCCATTCATGAACAGCTGTGTTAGAAATAACTCTGTTGAGCTGACATCTGTCTTACTGCATCTTCTACCTTCTGAGGCCTTATTAACTGATTTATTTCATGATTCTGTGGTTACTCCTAGTTAAAACCTCTTCTCAAACACAAAACCCCACCAAAAAGAGTACTAGGCATCTTTTTTAAGGTTATTTCTTTTTCAGGGTCTGCAGGTTCAGTTGTCAGCTCGTTGCAAGTAACACTCAGGTCTACCTGTCACTGTTTGAACTCTCTCCTGTAATGTTGCCCGAGGCGGCGTTCTGAAAAGCACATTCTCTGTGTTAGTTGTCTTCTTCTAGTTCAGCCTCAGAACATAACTGAGGGAGTCATTCACTTCTACTACCCATCGCTATGCCAAGATTATTCTTTGGGGATGGGAAGTGAGCAAAACGGCTTTATTAACGTTTCCACAAATAGGAAACTCAGGCTTATTTTCATCTTGTAACTGTCTACTCCATATAACCTGCCTTTATAGGCCAGGTATTTTTAACTTTTGTATTTCATGTACTCCTTTTGTATTCTGGTGAAGCCTGTGGATCCCCTTTTACGAATAATGTGTTAAAATGTTTAGAATTGCAAAGAAAACCATTTCTATTGAAATAATGATTAATTTATTGAATTAATTATTCTTTATTAATAGTTGATGTTATTTTAAATTAAATATTAATAAATTATTAATCTATTTAAATGAAGTCATTTTTTCCATCCAAGTTCATGTCCCCCTCCCCAAATCTGTCCATGAACTCTTTAGAATCCCCACTGAAGACTAATTAGATTTTGCTGGTTATTTCCCTTCTCAACGTCTTCCTTTTAGCTATACTCTTACCTTCTGTCATTAATTAATGAATGATTTAGTTGTCTTGTTACTCATCTTTTTTGTAGTTCTTTAAGCAGCCAGGACTCATGTGTGCTTTATGTCTTTAGCATAGTTTTAGGCTGTAAGCAACAAGAGCTGCTGTCTGTGGAGTCTTTGGTTCGTGTGGGTGGTGGCAGTAATGGGAACCCCTTGATGTGGGGGTGACAAATCAATGCTCTTGTCCTGTTGAGTTTGAACCATGGCTGAAGTCTAGGCTGCTCTAATAATCCCATTTCAGACTTTGTTTTGTTTCATTCTCGCTTCCCAGTTCTGATGTCATCTTCTGCCTCTGGCCCTTTACCTCCTCCTCCTTTCTGCTTGGTTCTGGTTTTTGGCTTATCTGTTATATGTTGTTGATTGTCACCTGCATATATACTTCTTAGCTGTACCTTTCATAAATTCCTGAACTAGAATTTTAATCAACTTTATGGATCCACATAATTCCAGCCCTGGCCAGTCTTAGACTTGGGACCCACCTATGATTAAAGTAATGGGGGAATTGTACCATACAGAGAGGATACAAAACAGTAAGTATAAAATTCCATTTTCTGTCCTGTAGTCTGTCTTTTACCTTGTCACAGAATTAAACTCATTGATTCTATTTCTGGGATTTCTGTGCTTTTCCCTTGGTTTATTTTTTCTACATTTTTCCTAGAACCAGATAGTTTTTCTTCTAGAAGCCTTGCTTAGTGCTTCATCATGATGGGGAAGTGAGTTCTTGAGGGGGATGCCTGCAGAGTGCAAAATCTGGCAGATTCTTCTAAGCTGGAAAGACTTCAGAATATGATACTGGTTACAGACTATATCTGCTGTCCAAGGTCCAGTCTAGCTAAGTTCAGAGAAGTTTGCCATTAGGTGATAAATTATTTGACCATGGGGACCAATAAAACAGACAAAAATACACAGTAGTCCTCTGCCTTTTTTCACTTCTAGAGTGAGAGTGGTGAAAAGGGTTCTAAGGAATCGCAGAATTTTTTTGACTATTTTTAAATGTTATAATTCTTGATTCTCTAAATCTTTTTTCAATAGTCACTGTATTACATTGCTGGAGGAATTGGATTATGTCTTATTTGACAATTTTACTCTCAATTAAACCTAAAAGAATCAATCAATAAAATTTTATTGAATGTCTGTTACATGATAGGCGCTGTGCTGAGAGCTGAAGTTATAAAGGAAAAAAATGGGACAAAAAAAATGGAACAATCTCTTCTCTCAAGGAGCTTGGGAAAGGGTAAAGGGTGATAATACAGGGCTCAGGAGGGCAAGGAAGTTGAGAGAAGAGGACAGTATGGAGTTGAAATGGTTAACTGTAGGTTTGAGAAGAAAGTGAAGTCAGAGCAGGGGTTTGGTTCCATGGAAGAATGAAAGCTAGGTTCTCAGAGAAGTAAAATAAGGAGCTGAGTTCATTTAGTTACCCAAAGGCCATAAAAAAACCTCATTTTATAGAACACCTGGGTATATCAACTTACAGTGCTTCTTAGTAGCATAAGTAAATAGAACGGGGTGAAAAGAATTACAGCTTCTATTACAGGGGGAAAAGAAAACAAAGATTAGTTTGACAAGTTCTCAAGCAAGTCAGTATAAAATAGGTTGATACTCGATGACTTCTCTGTAAAGTTAGACACAGGAAAGGATTGAGGAAAAATGTATTAGGAAATAGTTTGAGATTAAGAGAGTTCAAAGGCTTGTAGATCATTCTGAAATCACGTGACTATATATATATATCAAAAATATATTCTCTTTTAGAAATATATTCTCTTCATGACTTTCAGTGATGTTATTTCCCAGTCATCATTCCCCTCAGCCTTACAACAAAATACAGTTAAATAAAACAGATGAACTGGATAAATTAACGATGTCTGGTAGCATTCTACAAATAGAGTCCACTACCTTTTTCAAAAGGTTAAATTAAAGAATATGTTTCATCGTCAGTCCATAAGTCCTTTTGAGTCAAGATGAGTCACTGCATTCATCAGAGTTCAGATGCCTTTTAGTGTTATTGTTGTTGTATGTATATATTGTCCTCTTGGTTACATTTACCTTGCAGCAGTTCTTTCATATCTTCCTGAGTTTCTCTGAATTAATCATCTTGGTGATTTCTTATGATGCAATAATACTCCATTTAGTTTCTATACCAGCCTGTTCAACTGTTCTTCAGTTGATGGACTCTGTTTACAGTATTTTTGCTACCTTAATGAATGTTGTTTTGAATATTATATTATACATGGGTCCTTTCATCTGTTACTGATCTTCTTGGTGATATGTGCCCAGTAATGGGATTGGTGAGTCACAGTGTATAGACAGAATAGTGGTTTTTCTCTTATACTACAAAATTGTTCTCCATAATGGTTTTCATAGTTCCACCATGCATTAATATGCTTGATGTTATTTGACCTCTCCAACATTGGCTGTTTCAGTTTTTTAATCCTCTTTCCTAATTTTTTGGTTACGAGGTTTAATTTGCAATTCTCTCTTTTTATTAGTGATTTGGAAGATTTTTTCATGATTTGATCATTTGCATGTTTTATATGAAGATTCTTCATATCCTTTGACTTACCTATTGAGAAACAGTTCTTGCCCCTGTAAAACAAATCTGACCATGTTGCTTCCCCAGCCCAAGAAAGTTGAGTGCTTTTCTCTTGCTTCTGATTTAAAATACAGACTTCTCAGCTTGGCATTTAAAATTATTCACAATGATAGCTTTTCATCTACCTTTCCGTATTTATTTCATATACTTCTTCCATATACTCAGTATTCCATCCAAACAGGTCTTCTTGCAGTTCTCTGAATTTGATATTCTTTCTCCTACTTGAAGGCTCTCTCACATTCCTGGAGTGTCCATCTTCATTTTTTTGATTGAATCTTGGAAAAACTGAGCTTTTTTAATGCTTTAAGCTGGGAGTCAGCAAACCGTGGCCCACCAATCGTAGTGTACTGCTTTGGACCAGGCATCTCATTTTTCTAATGCTATTATTTCTGCTTATTATTTCTGTCACGGTCTTCCATAAGACTTAGGTAAAAGTATCTGGATAGAGTAATACCTCTGACTAGTTTGTATCATCCACATGTGACTTCATTAATCATTGAAGCAGAAATGCTAGTGTCATGCACTCAAATTGGTAGAACTCCACAGGGCAAATGTAAAAGTCTTTCTACTTGTTTGTTGTGGTGGTAACGACTGTGAAGGTCTAAAAAATGGAGTGGAGTTGAATTGGTTAACTCTAGGATGGAGAGGAAATGAAGTCAGAGCAGAGGTTTGGATCCATGAAGAATGGAATCTAGGTTCTAAGAGAGGTGAAATAAGGAGGTGGGTTCATTGAGTTACTGTAAAAGGGTGCAGGATGAAGAAGGGTGCTATCATTCAATAGTTTGTGGGTTTTTTTTTTTAGTCTGTTTACAAATTCTTCAACAGATGATTCAGGACATCCTGAATTCATGGAGTGGTGAGGTGAGTGGCAGCATTAGACTATGAAAACATTGGCTTTGGAGTTAGGACCTGGGTTCTCCCTGTCACTTAATTGCTATATATGTATGTGTGTGTGTGTGTGTGTGTATATCTCTATATATATAGATATCTATATCTACATCTACATGTACATCTACATCTATATATCTATATCTATATCTATATCTATATCTATATCTATATCTATATCTAATCTCTATCTCTATCTCTATATATCTATATCTATCTATATCTATATAGATATATATCCTTGGTCAAGTTAACCTTTCTGTGCCTCAATTCCAGCATCTGTCAAATGAAGGACTAGGTGTCCTCTAAGGTCCCTTCTGCATCTAAATGTATGATCCCGTGCATTCATTGAAAATGTTTTTATTGATGCTATCAGTTTTTATAACCCTGTCATTTCAAACCCTCTCCAGATTGAACCCTTCTTTGGGACAAAGAAAAATGAAATACCCGATACAGTAACCACATAAGGGAAAGTATATAATGTTCTGTCCTAATAGCTTTTCTATTGTGAGGCGGTAGGTATATCTTGTTATTTACTCTCCCAAGACCTTCATTCATTTTTCAGTTACTCATCATTGGATTTCCTCATTTAGTTGCTATATAGTCATGTATATTGTTTGCTTGGTTCAACTTACATCATTATATCAATTCATAGAAATCTTCATGATTTTCTGAATTCCTCATGTTTTGTTTTATTTTTTCTTTTGGGGCTGGTGGTAGTGAGTAAGGACCGGTGACAGAAAGAAAAACTCTTTCTGATTCTGAGGCTGGCTCTTTATCTTTTTTCATCATTTCTGCACAGTGCAGCACATTATATTTATGTTCCATATTTTTTTGAACATTCACCAATCGATAGATGCTCATTTTGTTTCCATTTCTTTACTACCACAAAAAGAGTTGCTATGAATATTTTGGTATATATTGCATCTCTCTTTTGGGAGACTCTCCCAGTAGTGAGATCACTAAGTCAAAGAGCATGAAAAGTTTAGTTGCTTTTCTTACTTAATTCCAAATTCATATCCAATATACTTGGATCACTTTACAGCTCCACCAGTAGTATAATAATGTGCCTGCCTTCCTATAGACTTTCCTCTTCCCATTTCTTATCTCTTTGCCAATTTCCATTGGTGTGAGGTGAAAACTCAGATGTTTTAATATAATTTAACTCTCACTCTTGGTGATTTGAAGCATATTTCCTGTGGCCGTTTATAGCTTACAGTTCTTTAGAAGTTAAACTGTTTGTATCTTTCAACCACTTATTCATTGGGGAAAGGCTCTTGGTGTTTATTATTTGTTTCCAATCTTTGTATATTTTGGATTTCAGCTTTTAATAGTAATATACTATGCTGTTTTCCCATTCTATCATTTTCTTCTAATTGTCTTGATTTTATTTTTTGCAAAAAGGCTTTAAATTTATGTAGTCAAAATTGTCTATTTTAATTTTTGTAATTTCTTCTATTCCCTCATTCATTTGCAACTTTTTTCCTTAGCCATTGTTGTGAAAAGCACCCAATTTCCTTCTCTGCTCATTTTTAATGGTGTGACCTTATATATTTTTAAGTCACCTTTTCATTTTGAAGTTATTGTTGTATATGGTTTATGATCTTAGTTTAACCTTATATATTGCAAACTTCCTTGAGTTTTCCTAGTAAGTCTCAAAAAAAAGTGAGTCCTTTCCTCAGTGATTCACATTGGAATGTAAGCTCTTTGAGGGTAGAGATTATTTCATTTTTGTTTTTGTATCCCTAGTACTTCGCATAGTAGCTGGCACATGATAGACAATAAATAAAATAATTTTTTGTTGATTGATTCATTGCTCCTATTTCTTGCTAATATTTTTCACTTCTATTTTCCTATTTTTAGTCAGTCAATTAGCATTTATAAATGGCTGCTGTGTGCCAGGCACTATGCTAAGCACAGAGGATACAAATAAAGGAAAAAATATAGTCCCTGATCTCCAGGAGCATATATTCTAATGGGCTATAACCAGTACCAAGTAGGTTAGGTTATTATATTATTTTATTATATATATGTATATATTATTATATTATA